AACAGCAGCAGCTGCTCCCAAGGAGCCAGAAGGCGGGCGGGCCTCAGGGAGAGCAGCCATCAGGGCTGTACTGGTGTGAAACTGAGAAACCAGATGCTCATCTGATCCTTTAGATTTGCCCCAGCCAGCCGGCTCCTCTCCAGGAACCTAACCTTGAGGCTGCGGTGAACTGTGACAAGAAGCAAGTGTGCGTTCGTTAAATTGAGTCTGGCCCGGCCAGTTTCCTAGAGCCACCGTATCCAGCCCACTGATTTGGCAGAGGAGAGCCCCCCAGCTGGAGAGGCTGAGTCACCAGCTCAGGACAGCACGGTCCCCAGTGAATGGGCTCCTCCAGTCAGAAGGAAGTCCTACTGGAAGGCTGGAAGGCTGTCTCCTGCTATTAATGCCCTCAGCCTGGAGGAGGAGGGAGCACACGTCTGCAGCTCAGCAGGGAAACCGCTCCCCGTAAAGGCCTGTCCATCTTGGAGTCTGCTGGCCTTTCCAGCAGAAGCATACAAACAGGGAAACAATGCCTTCCCGGGTCAGCCTGTTCTCTGTGTTCTGGTTCATTCCCCAATGTGATGGAGTCAGCACCAAATGCTGGAGAAACCTCCTTGGTAGATTCGCCCGGAAACTGACCTGCCCTGCCCTGGGGCCTCAGCCGAACCAGCAATGTGCCTGCTCTACTCCTTCCTTTCTGGTCTTGGAATGTAGAAGACAAAAGAGCCTTATCTACCAGGAGTAGTTTCCTACCCTGTAGCTGTTACTGCTCTAGTGGTGTCGTCTACAGTGTGGCACACTGCTTAGCACAAAGGCCTTTCCTCTACAGCAATTCAAATCCACCAGCTGCAACTTATGTAATTTACAGCCTCCAAAAACCTGCTGGAGAGCCATTTATGAGTTGACTCTGACCCAATGGCACCGAGGATTTTGCTGTTATCTGTCTTTGGGTTGTTCTGACTTATGGCAGCCCGGTCCACAACTGGACTGAACGATGTGACCCACAGCATTTTCACTGGCTAATTTTTAGAAAATGACATTATGCTTGGAAAGGTTGGGGATGGGGAGGTCAGTGAATTTGGAAATAGAGGCTGCAGAGTGAAGGAAGAGGAAGAGCACATCCCCCTGGAGCTGAATCCTGCATTTGACCCAGAAGTCTCCAAAATTATGAGGAAATGTGTTTGTTAAAGTAGCCCAAAAAGTTGGATTTGTTATAGCAGCACAAGAGAACTTAGACAAGGGTCTCCTGTGGAAGACCAGCAGAGGGCAGAAGAGAGAGAGAGAGAACAATGGAGTGACCGGGAAATGTCCATCTCCTGACAGATGCTGTACCAGCTTCCAGGATTTATTCCATTTACAGTATTGTGGAGCCAGCATCTTCAAAAATTAATTCAGGGAAGCCCTAGGAATGTCTCAGACAGGAATCCAGGGCTACCTACTTGTTCCCAGCAACCCTTCCAGGAAGAGCAGGACCGCACAGAAGCTGCCACCAGGAGAAAGAGGCCACCCTCACTGGGTCTCAGAGGCCCCTGAGCTCACAGAAGGAGGATGGCAGTCAGCTTCCAGGATCCTCAGAAGGCTGCACAGATCTACCCAGGATGCAGATTACTACAGGCGAGGGCACAGCTTTCACACACACACACGCACACACACACACACACACACACACATGCGCAAGTACCCTCCTGACTCATTTAACAATGGCCTCCTGGAACTCCCAAAGCAATTACTGCGTCACTCCTCAGTGCCTTGCTTGGATGACCACTAATAATTTATTGCAAATAAATTTCATTGCTCCAATAAGCTATTATACCGCTCAATTCCCTTCAGAGCTTAACACGGCTGAACACCCAGTTGGCCCTCATTAGGATTCTTCTGGACCCAAGTCTTCTCCACCCTTCTCTGTCACCACCTCCACTCCAGCAGCTGGCCCCAGGCAAATGAAGCTGGCCTCACCATTCACTTCTCTGCTCTTTGCCAAGGGCCTGGCCAGGAGATGCTAATAAAGATAGTTCCTAAATCTGTAGAGGAGACTGTTGTTGTTATTGTTGTTGTTGTTGTTGTTGTTGTTGTTGTTGTTGTTATGTGCCATCAAGTTGCTTCCAGTTCATAGCGACCCTATGTACAACAGCCCTAAACCCTGCTCTATCCCTTGTCAATCTTATTGTCTCTGACACACCTATCCCCAGTACCCCAGTCATTGAATCAATCCATCTCATCGAGGGTCTTCCTCTCCTGCACTGTCCCTTTATCCTCTCAAGCATGGAGTCCTTCTCCAAGGACTGATCCCACCTTGCAACATGGTCAAAGTATGTAAGCTTGACCAAAAAAAAAAAACAAAAAACAAAAAACCCAGAAGCTTCTATAGGTAAACAGGGACTAGCTATTAACAAAATCTCTAATTACTATACTCTTTATGGTTCTCCAGTGGGAGATAATCATTTATAACATTTAAGTCACCATGAATCTCAGTGAGAACTAGAACTCTGTATCAAGGGTCTCAGACAGGGTTCATGAAAAGCCCTTGGTTTTCTATGAAGAATCCAGATGGCAATACACTACTGAAGGCAGGTGACCAGACCAAATGACTACTTCCAGCTCTACACCCCTGTGACTATTGGGTCACCTCATTCACTCATGCACAACGTTGTTGTTGTTGTTAGGTATTGTTAAGCCAAGCGGGAGTCATAGCAACCCTATGAACAATGGATCTGAACCTTGCTCTATCCCACACTGTCCTCACAATCTCTGTCTTGCCCAAGCCTATTGGTACAGTCATTGTGTCAATCTGTTTTGATGAGGGTCTTCCTCTCTTTTACTGACCTTTCTCAGCATAATGTCTCTCTCCAAGGACAGGCCCCTTCTGACAACACACCAAAGAAAGTGAGGCAAAGTTGTACCGTCCTTGCCTCGAAGGAGCACTCTGGTTGCACTTCTGTTAAGACAGAGTTGTTTGTTCTTTTGGCAGTCCATGGGACGTTCAGCACTCTTCACCCACACCACAAGGTTGGTTGGTCTCAAGAAAATCTTTTCCCTGAGAATCTGGGTGCCTCAGATGGTTGACACACTCAACTGATCGACCAAAGGAGGTAGATCAGAGTCTCTTAACAACAAAGTTGATTTGGAAGAGAGGCCTGGAGGTCCAGCTCTGAAAAATCCTCCACTGAAAACTGTGGAGCACATCTAACATACATGGGGTCTCCAAAAGTGGGAATTAACCTTACGTGGTGATAACAGTAAACAGAATCTTCACCATGGAGATGTAATGAGTTGTAAATAAGCTACTGCATGCAAACTTGATTTTTAAAATGAAATTCAAATGTTATTCATTTCTATTAACATGTCATAGGGACTGTACTAAATAAAACCTTCTCTTTAATTAAGCAAATGCACATTGGAAACACCAGAATGCTCTTACTGGGGGATTGTGGTCAGCCCTCCTTCCTCAGGGGCGTCAGTCAACAAGTCTATCAGCACCTCCTGTGCTGATGACAGGTGCTGGTCTCAGGGGTCAAAGCAGGAGTCCGGGCTTTAAAGACACAGGAGGGGGGATCTCAGCCACCTGTCAGAGCCTCTCTGGTGTTGTCTCGGGCATTTGATGGCTCAGTTCCAGCAATCACTTCCCCAGTGATAAACCCACAGCAAGCTAGGAGGCTTCGTTTCCAGCTTGTTCCCTCCAGGAATGACTACTCATTTGTACTAAAAAAAAAAATATGTTGAAAAACTCACAAAATCGTGTTATTGCTAATGCTAATTGCATTTCCTAAGGTTAGCACCATAAAAAATTCATTGCCGTTTTTCACAACAAGATGCCAATTGTATTTTAATTGCTAGAGAGAAGGGAGCACAGAGGAGCAGCTTAACCAGGAAAGCGCTAAATGGGCATAAACGAAAAAGGAATTTCACCAAGCTAAAGGTCTAGTTCTGAAATGAGAACTTGGAAAAAACCCAAACAATACGAAACTCAAACTCCTTGCCATAAGTTGGAATCAACTCATAGCTGTCTCAAATGAGTTCCCAGAAGCTGTCAGTCAGTCATACAGGAGGAAATTGCCTTTCTCCTGCACAGCAGCTGGTAGATTCAAATTGCCTATCTTTGGGTTTACAGCACTTCTATCCACTAAGGCCACCAAAGTTCCCTAGGCTAGAAAAGCATTATGGGAAGGCTAGGCTTTTCCTAAGAGAAAATGGACTCAAATTTGCAATGTCCCGACTTGGATGGTTGAGGCTTTTAGTTGTACGTCATGGCGTATAAAAAGTAAGAAAACTCCTACATGAGGCTCCAGTGAGTTTTGAAGGCTGTAAATTACACAGGATGAACCTTCCCACCTTCCTCCTACAAAGGTATTGGTGGATTAATTCTCCCAGAGAAATGCCAACTTTGGGTTAGCAATGCAACTCCCTATGGACTACACCACCATCAATTTTTAAAACTCAGAGAACTAAATTAGCAAATGTTTGCCAAAATTCTAAAGCTCAAAAGCTTTCACACACCAAAACTTTAAACAGCATGTGTAAGAGAATTGAAATTGTACATCTTACCGTGTGTGAAAACTGGACAAAGATTAGATGTGTCATTGCACTTTTTAAGCATAGAACTCTTTGGTCTACTTCATGGAACTGTCATTTTAAAGCAAACACCTGTTCCTTTTCCAATTTCCTGTTTTAAAATGCTCCCACATCAAGCAAGGCCAGCCAGAGCTGAGGTGGAAACAGGAAGTGGATCTTGAAGTGAGGACAGGAAGGAGCCTTTGGGTGAGTACCATTAGGAGGTGAGACCAGTGCAGAGGGCCCTGACGCCTGTAACCTTGGTCTGGGCTGGCCCAGCCCTGCCTCCATCAGTCCAGGAGCCTCCCAACCAGGGAGTTCTCTAGGGAGACACATGGATCTTCTGAAGACACAAAGGCAGGACTCCAGGTATTTCTTGGATATTCTCCCCAGAGATGTTTACAGGGGCTGGGAAACAAGGCTCCTGCCTCTCTCCTTTCCCCCACATCCCTCAGCATTCCCACCCTCCCCACCTAGCCCAGTATCTCCTCCATCAGAGTTTCTTTCTGTTGAGAAAAGAGGAACTGAAATCAGAGCCCTGTGGCCCAGCAGCCAGCTTGTGGGTGGTGGTGGTCTCTCTCTCTCTTTCTCTGAGAATGGTGACAACTATCCATGCCTTCTGCATTGCGTGCTGCTGTTTCTCTTCCATCTAGTGGACCTGCGGAAAATGTGAGGCCAGTGTACAGTGAGATTTCAAGAGACAGACGGGTAGAAACTTAAGAAAGCTGGGTTCACAGTCTGGTCTGCCAAGTGCTCGAAAAGCAACTTGAAGTGAGTCACTTAACCATTCAGAACTATGGTTTCTACATCCACCAAATGGAGCTGAAATACTCACTTCTCCTACTTTTCTTTTTTTAAATAAAATTATTTTGTGTGTGTGTGTGTATCATCAAATCAGATTTGACTGGTACAGGAGGAGATTGTCCCTCCTCCAGCAGAGCGTCTGGTGGATTCAAACCGTGTACCTCTGGGATTGCGGTGCAGCTTCTTGCCACTTCTCCAACTTTATCATAAGGTTTGAATGAGAAGACAGTTACAAGGAGAGCTCTTGTGGCCAAGTGGGAAGAAGATGTGCTGCATTTCCCAAAGGTACACGGTTCAAATCCGACAGCTACTCCATAGGAGGAGGATGGACAAGCTCCTCCCGTGTGATTAACTGCTCCTGAAAACCTGCTGGGTGGTCAGTCAGTCTTGAGTGGTTTCTGACTGGAAGGCACACAACAGCAACAACAGCAATTTTAGTTGCTATTTAAAATTCCTCACAGACAACATCGATGATTCCATTTTAGGGAGCTCTGGTGTCCTAGCGGCAAAAAATAATAATAAAATAAATACAAAAAATAGTAAGATAAAAAAATTTTTAAAAAGAAGATGGTTACAGGTATCCCCTTAAAACCCTAGGCTTTATTATCTGGGACATCTTTACCACTCCTGTGCCTAAGTGTAGCAAAAGTGGTTTTCATTTGCTGACCCTGCACTTAGGACCTACTTAATACCAGTAGAGTATGTTGATATACACAATCTCATTTGCACAGAGACTGACCAGAATCTCCTATTGAACAGATGACACCGAGTGGCTTGCCTAATGGCACAATGGAAGTGAGAACTCACACTGCCAAATGCTGAGCTCTTCCCACTGTGCAGGGCATGTGGCACCAGCAGCTTAACGGCCTTGGCAGGCAGGGATGAGTGATGGTGATAAATGCATAACACTTCTGGATCACTCACTCTATTCCTCACACTGTACTAAGTATGTTACAGATCTTACGTCATGAAAACAATCACAACACTATAAGGCACCCATGATGGGATTCCCATGAAACTGAGGTTTAGCAGAACTAAGAATTTGCCAAAGGTCACCCTGTAAATGGTGGGGCTGCTCTTTCCCAGCCAATGCTTAAGTTGATATCAAATCAATGCAACCATTTTATAAGCTCTTTCACCCACTCTGTGGAGCATTTCCTAATCCCATTTGAAGGCCCGGAGAGGTCCCAGACCAGAGGTTCAGTTGACAATTTTCAAGGAGTTCTGGTGGCATGGTGGATAAGGAGTAGTACCGTCAACCCAAAAGCAGACAGTTTGAATCCACAGCTGTTGCATAAAATAAAGATGGCTGATCTCCTTCTGTATGATTTCTAGCCTCTGAAAACCCTCTAGAATGTCAGCTGTGAGGAGGACTCAAAGCAATGAGTTGATTCAGTGGGTAGAATGTAGGGAGGTGCACTGCCAACTGAAACATGGCATCTCTCTGGCAGGTCGAATCGAGCAGGGCCTCCAAAAGAAAAAGACAAAAGATGGGCAATCGCCTCCCACCTGTTTAGCCTCCAACAGCTCGCAGGAGGGTGAGCTATGCACAGGCTCCCACTCCATGCACTGAGCCGAGAGTTGAGATCCTTTTGAAATTTGCCGGGTATCCTTGCCTCTAAACTCACCCGCGCAATGTCGTGGATCCAATCCAGGAAGGTAGCCACCTTGGCATAGACTCCTGGGTGGTTGGGCTCTGCGCAGCCACGGCCCCAGCTGACCACACCTACTAGACGCCACGTGTCCCCATCTGGGCACACCAATGGCCCCCCGCTGTCCCCCTAATAGAGCGAGACACAGAGCAATAGCCAGTTAGTCCTTCCTCGTGGAAGAGCATGGAGTCTCTACACCCTGGCCTTTGTTGCCTCATTTGCAAACACCTGCTTGCCTCTTGCTAGGTTAACCCTCAGCAAGCCCCTCACGTCTGGCTAGGCCTCCAAACCTCCCTCTTGAGGGGCTTTCAAGCCCAAACCTCCCCAAAGCCAAAACCTGCTCCTTGAGAGGCTGTCTGACACGGCAAGCAGCCACAGGAAACCCTCTCAGCGTCCCACCACCGCAGGGACCCTGGCAGGGAGCCTCACCTGACAAGCATCCGCCCTCCCATCCAGGTAGCCTGCACAGAGCATGCGTGGGGTAAGGGCCCCACCGTACACGCAGGAACTATTGCAGAAGTGGGTGCTGAGCAGCGGCACCACCGTGTCCTGCAGGGTGTCGGAGCTGTGCGCTGTATGTGACATGGGTCCAGAGTAAGACCAGGCAGGCAGAGCAGCAAGGAACCGGGTCGGGGGGGGGGGGGGGCGGCGGGGACGGGAGCTTTAGGAGTGCTGAGGTTGGGGGCCAAGGATGGAAACTGGGAACACTGGACAGAGAGTCAGACCAGAATGGGGGCTAGGATGGGCCAGAGGAAGATATGGGTTCACGTGTACCCCAAATGCTGAAGACAGGGCAAGCCTAGAATGAGGGGAGCAAGTTTAGGGAAAGTAGGAGTTGTTCTTCCAAAAACAGACCCAAGGGAGCATCCGGGAAAGGGTGCTGACATGTGGCGGGAAGAGGTGGGGGGTGTCACCGTAGGGAAGGACACTTCTCTGCACCCCTACCCCTGCCCCGCTCACCCTCAGAGCCCTGGGAGTTCACTCACAGTGGCTGGGATCGGTGTGGCCCCAGCCAGACACCCAGCAGTGCGAGCCCCGCGGGAAATGCTGCTCCTGGGCTGGCAGGCACACGGCGCCCACGGTGTCTACGGAGAGGCACGAGGTTCTTGCCCCCCTCAGGCTCAGCCTCCCTCCCCTGAGCCTGGGAGTGGGGAGACACAGGGCTACAGATCCTTTCCCCTCCTTCTCAGACAGCCCTGGCTTCCTAACACCACGAGCGCGGGACGTCATGCCACCGTGCAAACCGTGCACTGTGCCACCTTCTCAGCAACACATCTCATCGCCATCCAGTCAGAACTGACTCAGAGTTGATCCTCCACTGGCTTTTTTTTTTTAATTTGGGTTGTTTGTTTTTCATTTCAATGAACATCTACAGAGATTTTGGAATTCCATTCATTCATTGTTACACCCTTCTCCCC